CTTCAAGAAGAGATGAGGGGGACTCAGATGATAAAGGAACCAGATAGACTGCAATTACAGGTTTGCCCTACCATATAGATATGTTTCTCTGACAGAAAGGTATTTCTGTAGATAATCCCAACTCTGGATAATATCCACACTTTTCATTACACTAGGTAGTAGTAAAGTCTCTCTTAAACCAGAGAGCCTTGATTGACCTTAGCTCAAAATAACCCACACACCAAAGTGACTCATCTTGGGTGGGTAGGTGAGTTCTATACACCTTGGGGGAGGGTGGGTGGTTCTGCACATCCTTCAGTACTGAATTAGGTATGAAGTAAATGAAAAACCTTTGGCACATTTCTGACCCACAAAAGTAACTGCCCAGTAAATAGATTTATTTTATTAACTTTGATTTTCACCACAAAATAGAAGCCTAAAACATTTCTAAAATAGAGGAAATAATGTAAACTGGTGATTATAAGGCATATATAATCTGGTGATATAAGGCATATGCTTATGCCTTTTTATGTACTTAGAGTTGAAGTTTGCTTTACATTTTAATATCAAGGGATATGTATCTGAAACTAGGTATTTTTTTATGTGCTTGTTTTCAAATATAATCTCTTTTAATAGCATCAGGTAAAAGGGATAGAGGGGTGAAGATAGGGACCTCTAGTACTACCACAATTTGAAAAACTCAAAGAAGTGGACAATTTAGTTTTGATGATTGATTTCTGAAAATTAGGACATTTATGCTTGCCTTGACCTTTCTTCTGGTGCATACAAGTGACCAAAAATAAAAAATGACTATGTTTTTAAATCATATGCTGATTTCACTCACTCTTTGGATCAATTCCAATCACTCCATCAATAGTACACTTTTTTTTAAAGAGGTTACAGGACTGATCACAATTGCAACATGAATATCATCTTTCATTCCATAATTTCAAAGCACATTCAGTATTGGCTCAATTCTCATAACAACTTAGTAGCTAGATATGTAGTAAACATTTCTTCTTTTCCCCTTGAGACATAACTTAAGTTAGTAAATGGACTGAGATTACACAGGTCTTGCAAAGAGATGATGGGGGAGTCCTGAACTCTACAATAAATGTCAGTTCCTCAAAGGAGTATACATGGATGTTCTTGAAAATCAAATCTTTAAAACAGGACCTTATGTGTTTTTAGAACTTTGAACATTAGTAAACTATAAAATGATGTTTAAAAATGTAATTTAACAATTTAGCAACATTAACCATACTAAACATTTTGTTAGTTTTGATAATTTTTGTTAGATAAACTAGTGTCTAAGGGGATGCAAGAAAGCTAGAGTATTTAGCCTATTTAGGAGTAATTTAAACAACTCAAAATATATGAGCACTGTTTTAATAAAAATGAAAATACTTTATTTTTGCTACATTATAATAATTTATGACATCAAAGTGGAAAACTGAGAAAAAGAAAAGCTCATGGGCAATCTTTCACCTATTTTCTCTGAGGGAAAAAAAAAGCATTGGACTTAGGTATCTTCCTTTGTTAAAATATGCTAGAGTTAGAAATTGTATTTTCAGCCTCCCCAGTGAAGCAGTGGGCTGAGCGCACGCTGTGAAGCTGTCCGTGGCCTCGTCAGTGCAGGTTCAATTCCCAGCCAGTCAGGGATATAACCACATGGCGTGGCAGACTTCTTCTGCCTCGCCCACTGCTCCCCTCAACAGTGTCGTTGGTTCATCTGCCTGTTCTGTTACCCACTCTTCTCTCTAGTGAATTCTCTCACCCTCTGTGCCTGTGACCTGTACCCCAGTTCTTGTATAAATAAATAAATCTTAAAAAAAAAAGAAATTCTATTTTCAAATTCTCATACAATAGTTTACAAGTATCTTTAAGTGTATTTCTGAACCTTACTTTCCTATAAAATAGTACAATAAGTATAATAATTTTGTAGTTTAATTTATAACTGAAAGGATTATCATGTATGAAAGAACCATTTGATTTTCATGGAAAGTGATATCCCTTCCTTGGTTTCTTTCTCTTTCTCCAACTTTGTTTACTTAAGATCACATCTTCTGCCTGTTGTTAGTGTTTGACCTTTACTATAGATGTTAGTAGCATACAGATTTCATGCACCCACTTTCTTTTGCAGTGCATTTAAAAAGAAAATGTTGGAACTGAAATTTGTTGAATTAATTTATAACATTATTAGGACCAGTATTTTTTTAATTTGTTGCATTAACTTGAACTGGTTTTGTTAAAAGTATTGATGCCAACTGTCCATATAATAAGAATACAAATCAATATATTGATTTGGGAACCTGGAAAAAAAAGAGTTTTCAAATATCAGCAAAGTATTATTATTGTCATCCCAGAAATAATGCTAGTATCTCAGTTTTACAGATAAAAACATTGAGACATATAAGTTTACATTAGCTTTTTTTTTTTTAATAGAGGCATGTTTTTATTTATTTATTTATTTGTTTGTTTTTTGTTTATACATGCACTGGGTACAGTCAGAAGCGCAAGAGGGTGAGAGAATTCACCAGAGCCAGAGCGGGGAGCAGAGCAGGCAGAAGGACCGAAGTACACTGCTGAGGGGAGCAGTGGGCGGCAGGAGAGGTCTGTGCGCCAAGCGGGACCCTCCTCCGGTGGCCGGGGAGCAGCCGGGGATTGAACCGGCACCGCAGAGGCTGCGGGCAGCTTCACAACCCAGCGCTCAACCGCTGCGCCACCGGGGAGGCCCTATATTAGCTTTTTAAAAGTCACAGATTATAAAAATAATAATAACATCTGAAGTAATGTTTTGTTTCAGTATGGTGTAGGAGAGAAAAAACTTTTTTCCTCTGCTCATCTAGATACTTAGCTGAGACCCTCCCTTTCCCCGTTACCTCCATCATAAACTACAGATTGACAGGAGAAAAACTAAATTTAGTCTATAGTGAAGTCCCCGCAAAGATATGAAGACCCAAAAAAGTAAACAAAGCCCATAGTTTTTATGCCTTTCATTGTGAAGGAAACAAATTTGTAAAGAACTGACAAAAGGCAAAGAAATTTGATTTTAGTAAAGAAAGTTAATAAAAGAAAAGTAGCAAGCTTTGTTTACATAATCTTTGGAAACAAAGATGTCACTCTGTCTCCTGATACTACAAAGTTGGAACATTACTCAGTGCATGCTTATAATTCCCAAGTAAATGATGACATTCCCTGGAGACTGCCAAAGGCAGAGTTTTTCAACCTTTGATACAATTGACATATGGGATAATTCCTTGTTGTGCTACTGTCCTATGCATTGTGGGATATTTAGTAGCATCTCTGGCCTTGTCTCAGTATATGCAGTAACATCACCACAAGTTTTGACATAAAATGCTTCAAGATATTGCAAATGTCCGCTAGGGGGCAAAATCATCTCAGTTTGGAAAACAGAGGTTGTTGCTGGGTTGAGGTATAGAGAAGGTAAAGTCTAGTTGAAGAGCCAAGCAACTTTGCTGAGATAAGAAGACAGAGATTAAAGGTCGAAGAAGTCAGAGTGACCAGAATTTTTACAGTGGCATACTGAGAGCAAGGAGCTCAGAAACAGCAAGAGAGAAAAGAAAAAAAAAAAAAAAAAAAAACAAACAAGCAAAAAAAAAAAAAAAATCTAACAAGAAGTTCCTGTAGATCTTCTCTGTGCACACATGAGGACACTACTTGAGCAGAGAATTAACCACTGAAAATGTGAATATTTTCAGTGGGGCAATTCCCAGAACCCACACAGAACTGGGGATACTTTTTCTTCTCAACAGCCACAGTTGAACAACCTTTATACCTAAGGAAACCTCAGAAAGGCGCCACCTTATTAGAGATTCAAGACATACCCTAAAAGACATAAAAGCAAGAATTCAACTGTTTTCAAGTAACTAAATTGCGCATAGAAAACACAACACTACATAAAGAAATACAATAAAATCTAACAATCAACAACATAAAACAAATAATGGCAAGCACCTAATCAATGGGAGTGGAAAATTATCCCTCAGAACCATGAGAGAAATCTGTTAAGTAATAACAGATTAATAAAAAAGAGATGACAGAATCAGCTAAGAAGGACATTTCTAAATATTTTTAAAATATTTACCATATTCCATAGTCTCAGGAAGGTAAAAATAATATGAACATGACAAAGTGAGAAATAGAAGACATAAAATATTACAAAATGAACATGTATAAAGACAAAATACATATAACCAAAATACATATAACCTGTTGGAATTAATAGCATATTAAACTCCATAGAAGAAGAAATCAGTGAACATGAATACATAGCAGTAGAAATAAAGCACAGTGATTGAAGGGAAAGACCAGACATAAAAAGAACCACAGTGAACTATGATCTAGTAATTGTAATCCAGAATATATAAGTATATTCATAAAGGGGGAAATTGAGAATGGTAGTATTTGAAGAAAGAAGAGCAGAGAATTTTCAAGTTTGGCTAAAACAGTAAACCCGCACATCCAAGGAGGTAAACAAACCCCAATCAGAATAAATATAAAGAAAACAACACTAGGGTATATTAAATCCAAATTAAAATCAATGATGAAAACATCTTAAAAGCAGTTAGAGGTTTTTTTTTTTTTTTTTTAAAGACCTATTATACAAAGGAACAAAGTTAAAAGTGACAAAGTCTTATCAAAATTGAAAGTATATAATGTGATGATTTGATATAGGTATACATTGTAAATAGATTATACTTTGATAGTATACAACTCCCCATTTCTCAAAAAAATCAAAGACTTTTTCTTGATCACACTTCATGTTCATCATAGTTTGGGTAGAGCCTGTGTTTATCAGAAACACTGAAAACTGAGTTAACCCCATCCTGATTCTCACTTTCATGATCACCATAGTAAATAGTAAGACAATGTGTTATTCTTGTTGAACTCTTAAAATTTTGGCCTAGAAGTGATACAGGTTTCTTTCACTCATATTTTGTTATCCAGCTAAGTCATGAACACATGTAACTTCAAATACTGAGAAGGAATCATCTTACCATGACCAGAAGAACAGAAGTATTTTGGGACAGTCTGAATGGTTCTCATATCTTGTCTCTGGCAAATTCACCTATCCTGCAAGAATTAAGAGAGAATTTTTTTAAGTTGAGATAAAATTGACATGCTATATCAGGCATTTAACAATGATTTATTATTTATACTTGCAAAATGAGCACAATGTGTCAACATTCATCATTATACATCATTTTATTTACTTGTCATAAGAATGTTAAAGATTTACACACTTAGCAAATTACAAATATATAGTATGTAATATATACCCCCCCACCCATATATAACTCCATATCCATATCACCATGTTGTATCTTACATCCCATGCCATAGATTTTATAACTGGAGGTTTGTACCTTTTGATGCCTTTCATCCATGTGCCCATTACCAATCACCATCTGGTCTCTGCATCCACGAGTTTGATTTCATTTTTTATTTAACTTATTTTTTTTTAGATTTCCCATAGAAGAGAGTCACATGTTTTTTTGTCTTTCTTTGTCTGACTTATTTCACTTAGCAAAACAACCTCAAAATCCATCAATACTGTCACAAATGGCAAATTTTCATTGTTGAAAGCATTTTTTAGATATGAAAGTAGAAGTAAAAAATCACACACAACTGTTCCTTAAAGATACAAGAACTCATTTAGGCCTATGAGCACAACTTTTATATGATCCTAATTTGGGAGTTATTTGATTTTTGAAACAAATTAAAAGCAAAAGAAAAAAGTCATTTAAGGCAGACAATACAACAGAAGCAAAAGTGACAAGGAAAAGTAAGTTGAAAAAAGGAAAATCCTAGTGTATTAATCTCATATGAATTAGTGTAGGAAAAAAAAAGAAGCTATCATCATACTTCATTAATTCCGAAGAGCATCATTTTCTTAGAGCAGATACAGCAATTGAGTACACAATGTGGATCTGACTCATTGAGAAGTGATTAATTGATGCCCATATTCCTTGCTTAGGAAAACAGTAACACCTTTAATTTTTGAAAACATTAATAATGAACTTCCATATCCTAACTGCATTTTAATACAATGAAAGCAATATTTGGTTATTCAGAAATTAGCTATTTTCTTCCTCACCCATAAAATATAGGTATCCAATAATTCTTTACTAATAAAATTTCACCATAATTTGATAAGAAGTTGGTTTTTTCATATGGTGAAGTAGTTCACTAAGAACTGAATGATAACTTTGAACTACTCACTGAATGTATATTACATGTATAGATGGGATAGATTTAGTCATGGTAGTGTACGGTAAATGATTTTCAGGCTTTTCTGCCCTCTGCCATTAGGATTGCATGCCTGATGGCGGGCACCTGCATTTTGTTACACTGTTGTATTTAGTTGCACTGTTTACTTCTGTGGGCCATGGCTGCATTATATATATTTCCCAAGAGAAGCAGAGGCAGGAAAGCTAGTGCCAGAGAACCCAGTAAAGGGTGAAGATTTGCAGGGGCTGGGAGGCCTGCCAACCTCCTGGCACCCCCACCCTCACCCCTGTCTGCCATCTACCTGGATGCTGCACTACATGTAAAAGCTCAATAAAAGCCTGAGAAAGCCACCCAGGGCTCCAGGACTCTCCTTTACCTGTCTGCTGGGATCATAGAGATCATGCTCCATCCCTTCCTGGCATTACAGTAAGTTAAGTCCTTTAATGAGACATTTACTCCTATCTTGTGGTACTATATGTTGTTTTTTTATTTGTGTTTCTAATCTAATTGAGTTTCAAGAAAATAATGGGCACTATTAGGATTCATTACTATAGTTTCTGAAGAAAATATTCTGCATCATAATAAAAAGTATAAAACATTTTTCCTCCCTTTTGACCTGTTTTTAACATACTTAACCATATCAGTAAGATAATTTAAAATGTAATCTTTTTATTTAAAATGTAATCTTTTTATTTAAAAGTGCTTTTTGCATGATTAAAGAAAGACGAGATTACAGCATTTGATTGGGCATTTTAAGATCATCAAGTATGATGCTGCTTATAAAGAATATGAAAGGAAAAAATCCAAGAGTAGAAATTTTGCACCATTGCTCCTGTTGTGACTTCCAGAGCGTCTAGGCTATTCAGCCTTTAACAACTGAAGGACCACTTCACAGCTGAATAGAGTCACAGAGGATCTCAAAATTGTAAGATATATTTAGCTTCATGAAAGAACTATGTTGAACTCCATGTAGTTTCACAGTTTGTGTGTAACAGGAAAACACCAGGGAATATATTTAGGAAAGATGTCCTGAGGTTTCCATGAAAAGACTAGGGCAACAAAATAGAAGTATGGACGGTATTATCAGTCCCAAATGACATAGTGCTCTGGCAGATCCCACCCCCTTCCCCTGCCTGCGTGCGTGTGTGTGACTTTCTCGTCCTCTCTCCCTCTCCCTCCACACACACACCCACACACAAATAAGTTCTTAGTCGGGCCTCCCCGGTGGCGCAGCGGTTGAGCAATGGGTTGCGAAGCTGCCCACAACCTCTGCAGCGCCGGTTCGATCCCCGGCTGCTCCCCGGCCACCGAAGGAGGGTCCCACATGGCGCGCAGACCTCTCCTGCTGCCAGCTGCTCCCCTCAGCAGTGTACTTCGGTCCTTCTGCCTGCTCTGCTCCCCGCTCTGGCTCTGGTGAATTCTCTCACCCTCCCTCGCTTCTGACAGTCCCCAGTGCTTGTACAAATAAATAAATAAATAAATAAATAAATAAATAAATAAACAAACAAATAAATAAATAAATCTTTAAAAAAAAATAAGTTCTTAGTATGAGCAGTACTTTATTAAAAGCTGATACTCGTCTTGATAATAGAAAAACAAGAACCATTGATAATGCAAGTTGATATAGAAGCTAGGGAATAGTTAAATTGTTGCACTGTTTGTACTTAGGTTTTCTGTACCTTCCACCATTACCTATTACTCTATCTAAATTATCTGGAGATGTGCATGCACATAGTTTCTGAGGGTTGAGAGATAATTATCTTGTTTCTGATTTTTATTGATCAGGCTAAGAAAAATGTTACCCAATAAAAACCAAAGTTTCAGAATAGACAGCAAAGAATGTATTGTGTCTCTGATCTGTTTAGGACCTCTAGGGGGTGGACGGTTTTCTAATTGGAGAGGAGTATCTTGGAAGATGCTACATGAGGTAATTTCATAACTCTTTTCTGAGAATAAGAGGGGAGAGATAATGAATTATAGGTTTTAGGTAATGAAATAAATGATTTGGTCCATAAAATACCTGTCTCACCACAGGACACTGAACTAAATAGTGTGACTGGTAAAACTATAACTCCAAGTCACTGATACCTAAAGGAAAACTTCCAATGGATCTTGTTGAATAGTGTATCAATCTTATATTCCCTCTAAATGACCAAGCCGGTGGTTCACTTGAAAGTTTTAAAATGCCCATAAAGAATTTAATGGGCTAACCAGAAGTATATATTCCTCGGGTTTTCCATTTAACAAAAGAGATGGAAATCAAACATGAAATATAGTTCTGTGTGACAGTGGCCAATTTTCTCCATCTACAGATTGTGGGGGCATATAACAGAAGACACTGGTAATATATAGACTATGTTCTAAAATCCTATTCCAAAACCATATTTATTTGGTATTAAAATTGATAATTGTTTCTCCACCTGCCTACTACTTTGTCCCTCCATTTTTTTTCCAAATGGGAAGGAAAACAAAAAATTGCAAAACAGGTTTACTTAAAATTTACATCCATCTGAAAGCAAAGACAGAAAGGCAAGTCACTTTAACAAATACTGTAACTCACATTTTTCTTTAATTTCTCATTCAACAAGTATATTTTCATAATATGTTTACTAAGCTTGATGCTTAGGGGTTACATATAATTACTAGTTGGTGTTACCCTTTGAAGAGAATCCACATCTCACTTCTTGATGCTATTTCTTGTTTTCTCTGTGAAAACATGAACTTCCTCCTAGAATTTAACCCATCTTCCATATCCATTATTAAGTATCCTGGTATAATAATAATATTTTCCTAATCCTTTTCCCCAACTGGAGATTTTCTACTATTAGGTTAGAGTCTGTTGAACTAAGAAAGCCTAATTTAACTTTATAATCTCTAGCACTGAGCACAATGATTGGAACAGAAGATGTTCAGCAAATAACTGTTGAATTTAACTGAATATATATAATCTAGATGTCACATAATGGAATAATGATGTGTTTGGGATATAACGTAAATGGCACACTTAAAGGAAGAAAAATGAGATTACTTCAAACAGTGCCAATTTGATCTAAATAAATATTTTGTTGAAACATATTTTTAACCAATAATTTCAGTTATATTAAGGACATTTCAAATGTATCCCATTCTGGATTAACTGAATCAAAATGCATGTGGATGGTTTTTGGACAAGGGACTTGCCTTCTAATAAAATGTGCAGCCAATCTTTAGATAAACAGTGAAGTTGGGGTTTCAGTCCAAGACTCTTCAAATTAAAAGCTCTTGTGAATTTTATTATATAACACTAGCTCTTGGAAAGATGTCTATATTTGTGTTGGTCCAAATTTCAAAACATAAAAGTTGATATTTTTACATTGTTTACATTTATGCTTTCAAATAAATCTAAAACCCATTCAAGCTTTGACATGTTTTGGGCAGAAGACTTGAAATTCTCTTATTCCAACAAAGAAGCTATTTTATGGAATTTTAAATTTAAAATTTCCTGCAATAATTACAAAGCATTTGTATGAGAGATGAAGTTATGATTATATAAATATGTGATTTATGTTTATGAAATAAATTTTGTATTTCATTTAATTTGTGTTGAAAATTGAAAGACTAGAAGTCTATTGGGGAGTGGCCATTAGTTTCTCTAATAGTTTATTTTATCACCAGTAAATTTCCTTGGAATTTCCTAAAGTAGGCTACATATTTCCTAAATAGGATGATAAGATTAGTGAAATAAAAATTACTTTCCCCAAGAAGGTGTAATATTCAAAAATTGGAACTTAGTACAATCTGTAAAAGCAGACAATTCATTAAGAAAAGGCATACATTCTTTGGAATAATTTCAAATATGCTCC